CCCCCCCCCCCCCTGGCGGCGACAGGAACGACGACGGCGACGACAGGGAGGACGAAGAGGACTCTCGTATCTTTTTATATTGTCGCTTCGGGTTTACGAGCGGCGATACAAGGCAAAATTGCGCCGGGACATATAAGTATCCAGGACGCGTGAAATTCCACGAATTGGGCTTCTGCGTTTATCGTGTTTCTCGAATTTTTTGGTAATTTCGTCAAATTCACCGTTTTTCTGTCAATCATTATTATACCAGACACTTGGATTTTGAATATAAAATTCATAGTCGTCAGTGATACTGATGCCGAATAAATGTTTGTTCTTTTGAAATTTTGATAAATTTTTTTTACAAATAAACTAAAGTAGATGGAAACATACCCATAAACGTCAATCACTGTACGAGTCACGGTATAACATTATACTTTTATCGTGGTCATAAAGCAGTGAAGATTTTGAAAAATTTCACTCAATAAAAATTTCGGACAAGTGGGTAATTCTCGTAAAATTTTTACATACCGTTCATTCCAGGGTTTCTAATGCGTAGACTGGCGAATTTTTGGAACATTGTCAGACACATATGTTTGCACAGTAATATACGCAGTGTTACGACACATATCTATATAGTAGAATAATAATAACAGTTCACCCATCCAAGAGCGAAAACCTCGTTCAATGTGAAATACACCGCTACGAATTACCCGCGACAGAAGAGCGTTCGGTCGTATATCATGTCGGTCCAATAAAATCGGATGCTGCGGAAGAAGAGTGTCACGTAACAAAATTCATCTCGACGATTGGTCCCAGTCGTTTGTTCGAGGATTCAAATACCATGTTGGGTAGAAATAAAAACGGTAGGATCCCAGGCGAAGACGCGATGCACATAAGGGAAAGGAAATGGACGAGGAAGAACTAAGAGGACGTATACCTATATACGTATACATATATTCTGGACCGTATCATCGGCAAAGGGTTTTAGTACCGACTTGACGTCTCAATTAAATTTTCAACTTGGTGGACTCCGGCCTGAATCTTCCACACCTTTTTAGACGTTTTGTCACCGGACATAAATTTTCTCGGCATTAAACATAGATATCGTCAGCCTCAACCTCATCTTTCGATCTTCCCTCCCTCTCTTCCCTTCTCCCCATGTCCATCTAAGGTTTCGTCCGACCCGCGAGTAGCCTAGCTGCGCACGTGTAAATTGTTCATATACGTGTTTACCAATCTCACGTACTCGGGAACTTCTCCACTAGATGTCAATTCGTCGGAGGATTAGATGGCCCGTTTGTAGACAACCGTTCGTAAATCGTTTTAAGAGGCTCTTACGTATGGTCCTTTTAAAATTCAATGCTGGAGGATAATCCATGCTGCTATATATGTGTGTGTATTCATATATGGGATCAATTCCCTTGGTTTGATTGCCAGAAGTTTAAAAACAAAAAATAAAAAAATAAAAATATAGTACCCACTAAAGGATGTCGGATTATGCAGGTTATGACGGCTTCGTTCGTACTGGTCGGTCTCCGGGACGTCCACTTGAATAATTCGAGGACTTTGTCGTCGTGAAGTCCGTGAACCGCGAGATGGGAATTTCGCGACTAACGGGAAGGATATCGACGAGAGAAGATCCGTTGAATGGAGCTGGGTCAGAGTTCTGGAAAGCAATAAGTAAACTGGTGAACTGATTTTCACTTGGACTTACGAATAGCCTTTTGCCATATCTGACGTAGGCGAGCCGTAACGTGAAATCCGAAGGCGAGGGTGTTCTTTATTTTCAAATTTTCGTTACACGTGAAGAAACGAGCGAAGAATAATAGCGATTTTGCAGCTCTGTATAGCATCGAATAAAATGACAGAACGTGAAAAGCAAAAGTCTACCTTCGGGCTAGGGGACAGTTGGTAGTTAATTATCCCCTTTCGTCAGCGAATTACCGGAATTAAGGACAACTGCCCGTTATTAAAAATAATTAATTTTTGGTTTTTAAAAAAAACAGAGATTTTCTCGCTCCCTTTCTTCGCACGTAAGTTATGCCGCGTCGGATGCAAAGTTAATAAGAAACTTCGCTGCCGAATCCAGTCTGGCTAACCTGACGCTGGCGTGGAGTATAAAGTAAAAAGGGCCTTATCGTCTGGGCCCGATCTTATCAACGTTAGTCCCACCGTAAGATAAATCATACGCAAGCTCGCCGGGGCACCTTTAATTACCGGGTCGCTCGCAAAAATATGAAGACGTAATACGTTATCCAGTTTGCCTCCGCGCACCGGTAGATATATACCTAACCTCCGTAGAAGACTGGTCCAGTTGATGCTGAGAGGCGTTGCTCATAAATAACGAATGTATATTCATGAACGCCACTGGGTACTTCGAGTTTGGAGATGAATGTTTGGTCTACCTACCCGCTGGAGGATCATCGTATACGGTCCCGTGCGCGCTGCACGAATCCTCGAGACGGTGTCCCCTGGACCACTTGTGGGATTTTTCAACAGTATATACGACAACGTGGACCTCTTTGCTAACCAAGAGGAAAATGCTAGCCGATTGTCAGGTGGTCGATTCCTGAGTGTAGATCCCTGTACCGAGGAGCCTCGAGTGGCTTCCTCGGAACTTCATCTTGCAGCATCCTCAAGAGCAATCGTCAGATGAGCCGCGCGCATTACGATTAAAAGGTCCAGCCAGTTGTATCCTGGTAGACACGGATTTCGGGATCTGACGTTACTTTAACGGTCTTGCACTCTTCTCTCTCTCTCTCTCTCTCTCTCTCTCTCTCTCTCTCTCTCTCTCATCTCTCCAAGAAGTCTCCTCCGCTACCTGCGACTCCTCACGGCACAGCTGTGCACACACAGACTCCAGGAACGTCCTCTGGTATCCGTACAAATATACAAGGTGTCCCGACACAAGATACATGAACTTGTATTTATACTCGGAGGACAGGACACTTTACGAGATGCAAATAGAAACCGGCCATACGTAGGCCTCGAATTAAGAACAGCGTCGAATCAAAATAATTTTACCGAAAATTCACGAAAGACCGTTTTCACTGAAATGGACCATTAAAAAACAGCCGAGGCTGGTTGAAGGAAAATTTTCAAAAATGAAAAATCTTCAACCCCCCATCTCTCGCTCGACCCCGTGGTATCAGGTAGTCGAAGCGAGCTATGTATTCGGCCAGTTCCTCGACTCCTATACGCAGTGCCGCGTATTCCCCTACTCCTTCCCCGACTTCGGTTCTCCTACCTCCCGGCCGTCTCCTGACTCCGGCTCTACCTGAGCCATGTGACTGATTCCCCTTCTCCGTAGGTTGACGAGTCGAGGGCCAGCCTACCTGTCGCCCGCTGCCCCGCTCCCATTACGACGCGGACTCTCGCGGCAGGTGCACCAACCTAAGTGCCACTCTGCTTACCTGTGTGCCTACCTGCGCCACCCGTTCGGCCTTTCCTCCACGTCGTGTACCGTAGCCGCCGTAGTGCCGTACCATCCCGCAGGGACGACGGACTGTTCTCTTATCACGGGCACCTCGTGCGCCCTTCCTTTTTGTACGCTCGCATACATATATATGTATGCAGATCATTTTTAAGAAAGAAATAAAAAAGGAAAAAAAAAAAGAAAGGGGATACACCAGATCAATTTTCAATGCCGCAATTCTGTGAGATTCTTCGTAATATCAGATACGTCGAACTACGTCGATTAGAGATTGATCTTAAGGATTTCTTTTTTTGACGCTTCGTGCGGGTACGGCCTTTTCGATGATCTCGTAAATCGTATTGGTTCGCGTTTCGTTACGAGCCTGTGAGCCGAATTATCAGTGGTTGTGCGAATTGTGAGACATGTGCGATCTCGGCAAGATTGAAGATTATCCTTGACGAAAGATAATCCGGTTACGTGGACGTTTCTTACGTGCTTCTCGGTCGAGTGTCAAGATCTGTTATGACAATTGGTGATTACGCAAGAACGTGACTGTTGATCAAGAACTACGTCCCGTTTGACGTATCGACCTGCGCTCGTTGTCGTGGATTTTCTGTACCCGCCAAAGTCTCCTGTAAGGACCAAGTTCGATCTCCTCGATCGGCCACCTTGTACCTCTTATCAGGCTACTTGGATAGTGCCTTGAGGTACGTCGCGACGCCGATTACTGTACCGACGTCGTATCGCCAAGAACTGTTCGTGACTCCACGTGCGTCCTCGATAAGAATTATCCTTGAGGCTTTCGTCTCTCTATACGTGGGTACTTGGGTCACGTATTTTCTACTGTGGACTTTCTTGCTGCCAGCTGCTGGGGAATCATCTGTTGGCTGGACCACGTATACCAGCGGCCCAAGGGACCAGACTAGGGTGTACTGTGTGCTTTTCATTTTGGACCGATCTTGTCCTGGTCCGGTATCATACTCGGTGGTAACCTTTGACATATGGAGGGTTAGCGTGTTTGACGTTTAGTGAGGATCTTTTTGACGCTGTTTTTAATCGTGCGAAATCATCTGAAAAAGACACGTCAATCGAGCCGGGACATTGCTTAGATAAGGGAATCGGTAAACGAGCGATTTTTACGCTCGTTTCAACTTTTTCACGTGACTATTACGAGACTCAATATCACGCAAGCTGGACATTTTGACTACGACGTCCGCACCACCGGAGTGGAGATGTCCACCGCGGGTCGCTGAGAGAATGAGGGAGCTGGACACCGAGAGCCCCGTCGTCTGGCCAGCTTGGTGTTATACTGGTGAGTTCAAAAGTTTAAAGAGCGAGTCCAAATTTGAATTTGCATTTTTATTATTTGCACGTGTCAGAGATGCGGTGTTCGCGGTTTTTTTTTTTGACAGCTGGAGAATATTTGGGATATACAAAAATTTATTGGGTATTTGAGATTCGTATTTACATGGGACGGTCGGGTGGTACTAGTAAAAATTTGGTACTCGACGTGCAGAGAAAAAATTTTGGATTCGTATGAGATTTTGAAAAAAAAAATTTCATCTATGACTTTGATCGGTTGTTGTTCTTCGTCTCGAGAGGAACTCCAGCTTCCATTACGTCGGAATTACACACGAAGTGATTGGCTCGATTCGCCGGGCGTATCGGGATTCCCGTAGGGAACGAATCGTGGGACCCTAATTATGCTTTAATATTGAAAATTAGGAACTAATGGAAGGCGGTGCAGGGGCAGCCGGCGCAGTGCGTCGCGGCGGTAGCGAACCTGAGGGCCACTTAACTCAGGCCGGTTCCCCTCTGCGTTATCTCGCTTAATCACCGACCGTTATTTGTCGGTTTCTTCCAATTAAGACTCCCCACTTGGGCGCACGGTGTCCAAATTCTCGTGGATTCTTTGGAGTGAAATTTTCGAAAATTTTTTTGAAAATTCCAAAAATTTCTAACGAACCTCACCCGCTCGAACGGTACGAGCAACACGAATTATTTGTAATCGATCAAACGTTCCGACCTGCTAATGAATGTTATTATTATTAAAAAAAAAAAAATTAACGGAATTTCAAAATCGTTAAAGTCAAGGACAAAGGCCAATGGTCTTGCAGGATTTCCGGTAACGAAGCTTTACGGACTGTCGCTTGCAGTAACGACGGACTCACGTGTCGCCTCGACTAATAATCCCACGAATCGACGCCATAAGACACGGAGCAGCCCAAAGGCCAAGACTTACCGACGACCGATCCTAGAGGCTGAAACCCAGACTTCGCCTCGTCCTGAGGTAGACTGATAAAAATGGCAAACTTCAGCCTGTTTTTGCAACCGTGACAACTACGGCCTGCCAAAAACTCTTGTGCCATTCCTTGCCAAAAAAGTCATTAATATTTCCAACGCGACCTGAACCGTCCTTGTCCGTCACCCGGTACAGGATACCGACGAAAGCCACAGCATCCACGAAAGGTGCACGTCGCATTCTCACTCCTGCTCCACGTGAAACCGGAAGGCGCAAGAAGTCACGGGAAGTTCAATTCGTTCGAAGAAACGCGCGGTAGCTAATGACCAAAGAATCCTGAACGTAACGGGCGTGTCTCGATATTAAAAAGTTCAACCAGCCGATCCGGCATAATCCGTAGGAGCGATCGTTGAATGATAATCAGCAGATTCCAAAAATGGTCCATAATAAGAGCCGTGACATTTTTCAAGAAATTTAATGTAAGGTTTCGAAAAAAAAAAAAAAAAAAAAAAAAAAAATTAAAA